ATCAGGGGTGTCCAAACTACGGCCCGGGGGCCAAATGCGGCCCGCGGGCCATTTTGAATCGGCCCAAATTCAAAAAGTTGAAAGTGAAAAAGATGAAACTTGTGCTTGTCTTATATTGTACTTCTTAAATATAGATGAAAACAGATATTACACAGTATTCATGTATAAGAAGCCCACTTTTCAAACAAATTCAGTCAGTTAAAGTTGCATTTTTTTTCTATCAAATCTAAGTTGATAAGAAAAAAGCCCAATAACTTATTTCCATAACATGCTTGAAATAAACCCTTCCTATTTCCTCTTATGATAATCAATCTGAGGCTTCTGTTTTAAGGGATGAGCTGCTAACAAAATAAATGAAACCCTATGGAGAGCTGGGATGTAGGCTGTTGTTTTTCTTAAACCATATTCAAGTATTAAACATAATCTACCTACATTTGATTTATTTTGCTGATTTATAACTTAAAGGGGACCTATCATGCAAAATGCACTTTTGTACGTCTTTTATACATGAATATGTGTCCCCGGTGTTCCAGGGAACTCACCAAGTGTCAGAAAACACAACCCTCTCTCTTTTCCTCCATACCCAAATCTCGAAAACAAGGGCTGCAACGGATCTGATACAGACTGATACAGATTTGAACATTTCTCTGACGTCAGGACGGAGGAGCTCCGCCTATATGGCCAACTCTCAACCTATCAGGGGAATGAGAGGTTGCCGTGGCATGGTAACAGCATGGTAACATGACGCTCCTTTGCAGGGGGGCGTGGTCAGCTGCAGTGCATGCAAAGACAGGGTGGAAGAGAGCAAAATAGAGCGAAATGAGGCATGGCTAAAATGCATGATCTGTTTGGTATTTTGAAAAAGAAAACCTTTAAATATACCTTATATAGGTATGGCCCTACAATATATTATTCAAATATAGCATGATAGGTCCACTTTAACTTATGAGGCAGTATACCTCACATCAGTGGCCCAGCCCTTTGTATATTTTTCTGTATATGGCACCCGGTGAAAAAAGTTTAGACACCTCTGCACTAGATGCAATGAATGTCTGTAATCCAGTGGTTCTCAAACTTTTTCTGTCAGGCCCCCCCTTTGGAGAAAATAAAAAGTTGGGCCCCCCCAACACAAATAGTTACGTAATGGACCAAGTTAACATTTATTAAAATACATCAATATGAACGTGAGCATTCCTTTCAAAAAAATCTAAAAATCACTTTGCTAGAACAGTGATAATAAAACAATGGTCTGTATGCTCAGAAAAATAAATACACAATACAATTGTGCAATCCCTTTGCTAGAACAATACATTATAATACTTTGCCACTTTGCAATCTGTGCAAAAAAATGAAAAGAAAGAAAATGTTGATATTTGGCAAAAAAGTGTGTCTTATCACAGCATGAGTGGCTGCAATGAGCCTGTTTTGCACTGCACATTTCTTCAAAACGGGGTTGCAGGCTCAGTGGCGGCGCCAGAGATTTCTTTTGGGGGTGCTGTGGGGTAGCTTGACGTTTCATAGAGGGTGCTCAAACATTTAGGGTTTCCCATTAATGTACCAGTCGCTAGTGGAATTTTCTACTGCAACAATCCCCACGCAAATACACAGTGTACCCGCGACTGTTACAATGAAGGCTCGATAATCAGCTCACGGCATATAGGTGTAAGCAGGGGTAAAGTGCTCTTTTTATAGGTGGTGTGTGGACCTCACATAGGGGGGGTCCTCACCTCCTCTAGGGGGGTCTGGGGGCATGCTACCCCGGGAAGATTTGTTTTTTTAAATATTGAAGTTAAATGCATCAATCTGGTGCACTTTGAGAGCATAATTAAGAGATCTATGGATACCTCTCTCAACACCCATATGAAACAGAACTGTAAACAGATTTACTTTTTCTTTATGGATATTTAACAAATCACTCCCCTTTTAAACTTTTTTTTTTTTTTACTGTCATATAGTATTCCATACCTGTTTTTCATTTATTCTCTTACTTTTTTATAACTATAATGATCATATAAACGTGTGCCTCGGAAATAATTGTTTACATTAATCGTGACCAAACCATTTCAGACCCACTGAGATAACTTAGACTAAAGTTAACTAACTATCTAAACACTGAGAGAGTCCTTTAGTTCACTGAGCCTCTCAGTCTGACAGGAGAGGACTCTCCTCCACCTTGTTATGGAAAAAGCTCCTTATATCCGTTAGCGTAGCTCGCTAGCACCAGAAGCTAACAACAACGATCTCCGGTACCGGTGCGCTCTCTCTCTCTCTCTCTCTCGCTCGCACACAAAATGGCTCGTTCCACACACACACAGAGCCGAGCTTGAATGAAACACAGAGACCCAGACGTACTTTTACTGTATTGTATCATATTATTTTCGAATCAATAATTTTCCAAATTAGGATTTTTCTTTTTTCCTAACCATTTTTCCTCCTGGTCTCTCGCGCGCCCCCCACTTTGAGAAACACTGCTGTAATCTAACTTTCCTTAAATTTACTCTGACAGTAATTGTATTGTAAACAAAAGTATTTAGGAATTGGAAAATTGTGTGATGTTTTTTTTTTATTTGTATTTATTTACAAACAGTATGCAGGTTGGCATGAATGTGTAACTGGTTAAGTTTCTCCCGTTTTTGCACTTTGCCAAAAATACCCAACAGGGGGCAACCTTCTATCACATCGATTCACATTTTTCCACCTCTCATCCTCACCTCTAACATATCTTGCGTTGTTAAGGCATGCTTCAGATTTAATATGATGCCATATCATCAATTCAGACTAAAGTTTGATTTTGGTCATTATGTTTCCTTTTGGCCAAACAGGGCCCTATGTGTCCCAGTGTTGTTAACTGTTTAATAAGTAGCTGGAAACAGAGGTCATTACGTAGTGATACTTTCCTTATAGTCAGCTCATATTGTTTCACTCATCTTGACAAGTGACAAGGGAGGGTTGTTGTGGCTGGATTATCTACGTTTCTTAATGTTTGTAGCCTTTAAAGCTCAGCTTTGAGTGGCAGCTACCAGGATGGCTGCCCATAGGGGACACTAGATGATGTTGGGATGGGAAGCTTAAACACTTACACACACTGTGAACACACAAACACACACACAGCTCACAAAGTGGCGGCGGAGGTTTTAGCTCTGTTTCAACTTGTTGCAGATTGAGTTTAGGTATTAAGACCAAGCACACCTGAGAGAGAGTGGTGTGTGTGTGTGTGTGTGTGTGTGTGTGTGTGTGTGTGTGTGTGTGTGTGTGTGTGTGTGTGTGTGTGTGTGTGTGTGTGTGTGTGTGTGTGTGTGTGTGTGTGTGTGTGTGTGGGTGTGTGTGTGTGTGGTCGTTAAGTGTTTTTCTTTCTTTTTGTTGAGCCCCTTTGACAATACCTGTCAGAAGAAGATTTCAAAGGGAATAAACAGTCAGATATTAAAGGGCGGACACATAATGACTCTTTTGTACAGTATTTTCACAAGAAAACGAACACCATAGCACATCAGCCTAAATACTCATTTCCAAATTTGTCATGATGGTGAACACATTTTTATCCCAGCAAATTATATAGTGGCCCTATTTTCTTAGCTAACTAGAAATTACACATTTGAAATGTGTGATTGAGACTTTCAACAACACGTTTTTCATCTTGGAGACAATTATTTTCAGAATTCATCAGCCTATTAATTGTTTTGTTTTCCAAAATATCAATAATTTGTAAACATGCTATGCATCTTCAAAGTACGTCTCCTATAACACTAAGAAAATCTAATATTTATCACATTTGAAAACCTGAGAAAGTGGTATAGGTATTTTTTACTAAAAATAATGAATATTAATCCATTCAAAACAGGCATCAGTTGTTTTGAACCCGGCTGTCTTTTACTGTTTATTTATTATGTTGCAGAGTTAAAGTCAATATGTGCACACCCACGCATAAGTGCATCCTCATATAACCTACACAGTTTGCATTAAGTCTAGGTCTTTGACCTGTACCTTTGCTTTCATATTCAGGAAACCATGGCATTGAGCTTGCTACCCTTGTGTAACTTTGTCTCAGTTTGTCTGTGTTAGTCATCAGTGTCTGATGGTTTGTTGAAAATAGAAAACAGAGCTGAAGTGATGGTGTATATTGCTTCAGGTTGAATTTATAACTTAGAATATGGTATAGGTAAATATAACAAGTTCAGGTGCCCTCAGTCTAAACGAACATGAGGTGTGCAATAGGGTAACCAGGTGAAAGATCGTAATGTTTTTCAAACATCAAGCTGGCATTCCCATGATATCTGTCGTGCTCCCTTTACTCAGGGTGCAAAGAAAATACGAACAAAATAAATTAAATTCTTTGATTAAGATCCTGTTTATGTTTTTTTTTCTTAGACAAAAAAACGATTGACTGGTCAAGGAGTTTTTTTGTTTAATGTGCAGGCAGAATCTCAAAACTATATTATTGTAGTAGTCACTTTTGATAAAGTTTCAATTTTCTTAATCCATTTTCTGCATACAAATGAAAATATTAATATCTAAATACTCCCACGCCCAAAATCATTGTTGATTTGATAAATACAATTTCCTATAATTATAGCATTTGCTTGGTTTGAATTTAGACAGATTGTGACAAATTCTGGAGTACAAAAATATAACGTATACAGTTTAAAGAAACCAATTGTCCATCCAATTATTAATGATGAATTGAAAGCTTTCCAAAGTGTTGAAGAGTCTCTGTTTTTAACAACATTCAGCCTTGACTGTTGATTTAATGCTTTATTGATTAACAATACTGGGTGGGGGGGTCTGACCCTTGAACTGTTATTTCATGTTTTTGTTCTCTCTCTTTCTTCCTCTCTCCCTCTCTCTCTCTCTGTCAGACCAGACAGTGTTTACTTAGTGCAGGCCTTCACAAGGTGTTTGGAGCGTGTGTGTACATGTGCCCTAGCATTGCCGTCTATGTCCGGGCTTGCCATAATTAGAATGTTGTTCCATTTTTTGGGTTCCAATCCGTCTTTCCCTCTCACCTTCACTCCCCTTGTCTCAGTCGATAATTTCTCTCTCTCCACACCATTCCTCACCTTTCTCCCTGTCCTGGCTGTAGGAGTCTCTGTGTGTGTGTGAGTGTGTGGTGTGTCCACTGATACATGCCTCACTTGGACAGTCTGGCTTGGCTATGAGCCCGCACTCTTGTTGCTTTGCTGTGTTTGGACGTTTTTGACTGCAGAGTTGACTATTGAGAGTAAAGCACTAGAAGATGTACTACATGAAAAAGAAGGTAATGGCTTTTTTCTTCTGCTCATAGGGTTATTGTGTGTTAACATGTGTCTATTTCAGTGTGGATAAATGTCAACAGTGTCTGTTATTGGATGCATTAGTACAGTTCAGGCTGCAGTGATAAATATTGGGATTTCTTTGTATAATTCAATGATTTTAAACATTAAGTGTAGGTCAGTTTGTCTTTTTAATGGTGAATCAGCTGATGTTAATTGGTGGATAATGAACTCATGTTTGAAGAAAGTAATTGTTTGATGTGTATTATTAGAAGGGGGGCATAATGACTTAAAGTAATTTAGTAGTTTTTTTTTGCCTTCTGACTTTTCTTTTCTTTTCGGGAGAGGGCATCAAATCAATAACAATTGCAGCAGCCACAAAGCAGTTTTCTTCTAAGCTAGAATAAAAGGGCCTCACAGTGTGCGTTAAGTGTGTCACCTCACACACAAATCGTTCCTCTTTTCAAACACAGTGGAGAGTATAAGAGGGGAATGGCAGGCAATTAGGCAGATTACGCCTGTGTTTTACAACTTGTCTCGTATAGCCCCAAGGAGGCTTCTGTGGAGACCTCACTGCAACCGCCGCTCACTTACACTCTCTCACATAAAAACACACAAGTTTGTGTCTCTGCATATTTCATGATTTTATCTACAAATCACAGTTGTTTTGCATGTATCACAGAAAAAGTGCTCGGGGTTTATCATGGACACTAGACAGTTACACATGCACCCGTCCCACACACATGCAGCATAAAACTACTTGTAATCTGACCTCCCTTTAAGTCTCCAAACCCTTGTCTCTCCGGCACCTCTACCTGTGCCCTCCCTCTGCCTCTCTGCTCCCTCCCTCCTTCTTTGCCTCCCTCATTCTCTTCCCTCTTCTTTTTCTCCCCAGTCCCAATACAACATGCTGAGCAGCAGCATGGAGAGCCTGGGGAGCCGTGCAACGTCCGCCAGCCCCTACAGCTCCGAGAACGCCTCCTCGTCCGCCGTGCCCACTCCCTCACCCTACTCACAGCCCAACTCCACCTTTGAGGGCCTGTCCCCTGCCCCGACCATCCCCTCCAACACCGACTACCCCGGACAGCACACCTTCCAGGTGTCCTTCCAGCAGTCTAGCACCGCCAAGTCTGCCACATGGACCGTGAGTACACACACTTTATTGGCTTTGGCATGCAGTGTGTGTGTGTATGTGTGTGTACATATTTTTTATTTCGCTCTGTCTTACTGAGTAACGACTGAACGCACACACATGAAAATGCACATTATTTCTCACACACTCACTCAAGCCTGCACATGTGCAGGCGTGTTGTGTGCAAGAGAAAGTAGAGCATCATTCAGTGATTCATCGTTACCTCCACTCACCTCTCGTAGCCAAATCTGATGTGATGAATGCAGCAGGGAAAGTTTGGTACGAGGTCCAGAAAGATTTATCCTTGGTCATCAATCTATTAAAAGCAAACAAAGTTTGACTTAGAAGTTTAAAAAAGAAAAACATTTTATTCTCTAGAACCATTTAATGTTTTATAAGTTAATTATAGTTTTAGCTACAGTCCTCAATGAAGAGTTTATGTATAATGAGTTTATGTCTAGAAATTGTCACCACAATATATCGTAATTGCAATGTATAATAAGAGGCTGGTACAGAATGTCAGTTATTCCCTGAGTGTGTATCGACATATGGTGTTACTTTTGTTTATGAGCTACAGAAATTGTAAGACAAATCTAAATTTATACTGCTACTACTACTCTTGCCACTAATACACAGTTAGTCGAGTAGCTTTAACAGTAAGAGTACAATACTGAAAGGATACATTTTGTCATGTTATGGGGTACATAAACAATAAACAAAAATGCCTGGGCCAAGACGTCATGACCCGATGAGAAGTCTCAAGCTGGAAAGGTGTCACCTCCGTCTGTCACACAGTTGACCTCCCTGAAACAAGAGAACCAAGAGACAAACTGCACTTCCTTCACCTGTGTGTGTGTGTGTGTGTGTGTGTGTGTGTGTGTGTGTGTGTGTGTGTGTGTGTGTGTGTGTGTGTGTGTGTGTGTGTGTGTGTGTGTGTGTGTGTGTGTGTGTGTGTGTGTGTGTGTGTGTGCGTTCAGGCCTGTGCATGTTGACTGTGTGATCAAATGAGGGGGCTCCTCCGCAGCTCTGTTTGCTGGAAGTAACCATGCATGCTGGGCTCTTTTACTCAGCCCTCAGTGATGTAAGAAGATCCCCCTCTGGACATTAGTGCGGTGGTCTTTGACCTGCTGCTTTTCTTTGTCTGTCTCTTTCTTCCTCTGGTCTTAACACACACTCATGGCTGTCACCTCTGGTGCCTTAAGTTTCGTCCTTCCCTCTCCTAAAATATGTCTATAATCCCCTTTCCCTCGCTTTCATTCTCTGATTCAGGTGTTTCTCACGGCCTCACTACAACGATAGAAACTGAGGAAAAAACAACAAGTATTAGCATGTTTTACCTGAGAAATAACTGCAAATGAAATCCTAAAATAAAGTTTCAACCTTGGTTAAATTTAATGAATTACTATTCTGCCCCTCAAATTATGTGTATCTGCCATCCCACTGGATTTCAGTTTAGAATAGTCCTACTAATTTAAGTGAGGAAAGCATGAGAATTCCCAAGGGTGCCTGCCAACAGATTATTTTACGCCACTCAGCAATCCAATCTAAACCTTTTTGCAACAAAATAAGCTCCTCTTAAGGACATTTGTTTGCAAGAAGACCCTTTGCAACCACCTGCACTAACATATCTAGACCGTTTTTTTGCACCAGGCGACCATAGACATAGGACAGCGTTTTCATCAGATGATGACGCAGGAGGAAAAGGATTGTGAGGAAACCAGTGATTATTCAGATTCCTCTGCTGCCATTAAAACAGAGGGATTAGAACAAGAAAGAGACCGGGGGATTGCTCATAGCTTTTATGGAGTTTACTGTAAAGCTTAGTTTTTAGCCTGCATGTCTTATTATGAGATTCATGAGGAATCAGAAGATGTATTTAAGTGTTATTATGCAAAAGCTTCAGAACAAAAACCTTTTTAATGTATAAAACTGATGCAGTATGATCATGTGTGATCCTGTAGGATATGACACTATTAATCGCCTAACAAGAAGCCTTCCAGATCTCAATACACTAAATGTAATACAGGCATTTAGTAGTTTGATAATATTAAACAGAACAAAACAAACCAAGAAAGCCAAGACTAGGCCAGGTTTGACATTATGTTGGCGGGTAATATTAAAAGTGTGAGTTGAAAAGAAAGGAGATTACGCACTAGCCTCTCGGAATGAATACTTGTGTACTTATGGGAGGGGATTTTCCAAAAAAGAAACAGGGGTGCATGAGGATTTGTGTCTTATGTGCATTTAAATCTGGGCGTGTCTATTTATGCAAAATGCATTGCAAGACCCAGGTTTGAACATGCTTGAAACAAAAGGATGGCTATGTGGACCAAACTGAGTAACCTTGTTTGAATGAAGGAGTTAACAGTCTCTGGGTTTCTTGCTGATTTCTTGTGGCCTCCGGCAATGGGGAATGCCGAATGCCATAGGGGCATATTGACTATAATCAGTTACCTAGCCGCCCCTTGTTCCCACCCCTCTGCCTCCCACTAAGAGCGGGTGGCATGCAGGGCTTTGGGAGATTACGAGAAATGTCTATTGCCTCAAGCATTTCTCATTTAATCCCATCTTCTCAAGTTGTCAACTGATTGATTGACGTTGGGGTTTGTGGCTGCATACAACTGGCCAGTCCTCCATGGAGAGTAAAGGGAAGGGATGAGAAGAGAAGAGAAGAGAAGTAAAGAAAAGAGAAGAGATCGGAATAGAAGATACAATTCCTTTTTTCCTCCCATCTATTATTATGATGTTTCCACATACATTAAGCCATCCAAGCCCTGTTTCAGCAAGACACTGTGCCTTACTGACAATAGCTCTGAGATTCTGCTGCTCTCTTGCCTCTTGAAGATGATTCCTTGGCTTGGACGCCAGCCTCATCATTGCTGGAAATTAGATATAACACCTCGGCCTTGTCAAATAATAAGACCTCTTTCCGTGCACTCAGACATCAGTTTGTGTGTGCGTGCGTGTACAGTATGTGTCAGGAGTGGAAGGGAGTGTGATGTGCTGGGTGCGGGCTCGAACATGCACTGCAAGGCGGCTTGTCAGAAGCTGCTCTTCCCAGCTATTAGCCTCTCTCCGTTAGGACACAAGTCTCAACATGTCTTGCATAATGCATCCTTCCCTTCCTTTCCCAATGCATCATCTGTGGCCACAACTGAATTGGCCAACCTGCAGTGCATCAGATCTGGGAAAACTCACTCGGAACATTTCTTTGCTCAAATGTATTTTATCAACACACAAGTAAATACATTAAGTTTGTGTGAGTCGGATCAATGTGTACAGCAAATGCAAGTTATTTTTAATTGTTATAAAAATAGATAAAGGGCTTGAAGAAAACAGCGTTATTGATATCTTTGATGAATGGTCAGGAAATGTTCTGGACTACTGTGTAACACTATGTGTATGCCATCATGTCAAGAAGACTGTGCCAGTGCTTTCAATTCATCCTTTAGTATGTCTAATAGCCGGCATTATGAAGACTTTATTGTGGAGTTTTTTTTTAATTACTAAATATTGTTTGCCGAAAGGTTTTAAATGACTCATCAATCACATAATGGTTAGAACTACAGGGTACCAGATGAGATAAGAGCTGCCTGTTTTCAAAGAATCAGCCTCTGTAAGTATAATTACAGACTGTATAGAAATCGAGCTTAGGCTGTGTGGATGTTCACATCTTGCTCAAAGTCAGCTCTCTGTGGCTGTATGTGCCAACGTATTTCATATTTGGACAGTTAAGCGAATTTGCGGTGGGCAAGCCGCTGCTTGTAAATATGGATGACGGTCTGGCAATTATCACTCTGTTTGTAGGAGCCTGTCAGGACCTGCCTCCACTGGTCCACCGCGAAAATGCGGGCCAGGGCTGGATGGCTAAATTAATGGATAGATCAATAGGATTTCATGGAAATTGAAACTTTATAGTAAGTTACCAGATAATTCTCTTAAAAGTCATCATCATATAACATTTTCAAGTGAATTGCAGGATGTGTTCCGGTCATTTGATGAAATCGGATTTATAGATGGGCTGCTGATGTATTTTATAGCTCAACAGATTTCAATTAAAATGGGTGGAACGTTAGACAATGAGCCAAGGTTTTTAGGGTTAGATTCAGGAAATGTTAAGGATTTTCTAAGCATTTTATTAACATTCACATTTCATATTATTCAATATTTTCCCTATTCCTTTTGTAAATGTCCTCTTGTCACTATAACCGTGAAGATATTTTCCAGATCATTGACAAAGCAAATAATCTCTTAAGCCTTTAAGCTTGTTTGTTTTCCTTTGATCTTTTTCTCATTTCTCTCCATTCATTCACTTTCTATATGACCTGAAAGGAGGCCCAGGTTATTAATCACTCAGCATTTCTTGTCTCAACCACAGCATACACATCAGATACTGTAATTTAATTGTTGCTGAACTTCACTTCTGACAATGACCCATGGAGCTGAACTCAAAGATGTGTGTGTGCATGCCTATGCCTTGTCGGTGCATGTGCACACTTGTCTGTGTTGTGGACGAGTTGAGACATCTTACCAGCCCCTGGAACAAAAAAGTAGTTTATGAGTATTTCTTTCATGCTCTTTGTGATGTTCAAAAACAATACTAATACTGGTCTCCATTGATCCCACAGCTTAGAAAAAAAACTAAAAGGTTTTAATTTTTTAAAAGACGAAAGCTGTTTTTCAATCCAACAGGATTTTAGGGTGTAGGTGGAATTTCAAATCCCTATTGACCACATTTCAGAACAGTATGTACCTGTAAGGTGGAAACCTTTTTAGTCATAGCAACGGTTAGAGTATTTTTAAGTGACAGAGAACACCGTCTCCTTCACATTTGAAGTTTTTGTCTTTGTAAATTACTAGTAAGAGAATCTCTGAGAAATTATTTATTCATGGTATTCCGTTGAGACTTGTCGGGAAAAGCTAGGTGGGAAAAGGCAATGTTTTTCACAGGTATTTCCATTGCCCCCTCAGGGTTGGGCTCAAGGCTAAGGGTGTGTGTGTGTGTGTGTGTGTGTGTGTGTGTGTGTGGTGTGTGTGTGTGTGTGTGTGTGTGTGTGTGTGTGTGTGTGTGTGTGTGTGTGTGTGTGTGTGTGTGTGTGTGTGTGTGTGTGTGTGTGTGTGTGTGTGTGTGTGTGTGTGTGTGTGTGTGTGTGTGTGTGTGTGTGTGTGTGTGTGTGTGTGTGTGTGTGTGCGTGCGTGCGTGCGTGGTGTGTGTGTGTGGGGCTTAGTAATGGTGTCACAACAAGGAATCCAAACCAATCCATGCAGTTGTTGGTGTAGGAATGACTCTTTTCCCAGCCGTCATCGGGCCGTCTGAGTGGTGTCTGGGAGAATCAAATCAGAGTCTGGATCATTAGTGGGAACTTCAAGAAGTACATTTTCATTTTTGGAGTATTGAATGGTTTTTCATGCAATATAAAGAACCTTAAATCCTGGAAACTCTTAATAGCAGTAGGGTACAGAAGTAACAAAGTCCAAGAGTCCAAAGAAAGTAAATTGTAACTTATATCCAAAATTATGGATGAGTGGGGAGAGACTCTGGAAATCAAAGGAAAGAATACAAATAAATGTTTTTTTTTAAAAGACAATTATGAGGAGAGAATTATAGTGGACTTCTGGAGTGGTAGAGCAGCAACTTGGACACTACCAACATGGACGGTTGATATATGCTTCCAAGACTTTCTAAAATCACCTAACCCTAACCCTGAGAATTAATGGTTAATACTTGGCTAAGAGATTTGGTTAATGGAAACCAGGGTTGAAGTCAAAGGCTCAAAACATACTCATCTAAAAAACTCCATGGACTATTCAACAAATAAAGATGATTTGATGATATATTTCAGACAAAGTTTGGAGAACATATGCTATAAATGGGATTCAAGGAATGCTATGAATGGGTCTATGAAAAAGGTTGGGTTTGACCATTCATTAGTGCGATTTTGTCACTCTCTCTGTACTCTACAATACTGTATTAGCCACATGCACTATTGTATAATGTATTCATGCTCATAACAGGATAACAGTCTTCTCATATTTTTCTGAAAGCTCTGTTTGATTTCCACAGGGAATATTTCTGAGATGTCCTGATTGTGTTGGGGCATGTTTTGGCTTCTCCATCACTTCTCCTGGTGTCTTTGGATGCATATGGCATTTACATACACACATGCGCGTATGCATGCATGTGAAAATGCTCGTTAACTGAGGAATGGCTAAAGACTTGTCTTTATCCCCGCTCAGCATATTTCCCTCCACCAGTTGTAGCATCTCACATTGCTGCCAAAAAACCCAGTCTGATAATAATCATTTATTCATTTTAAAGCCATATAATTACCTATACTACACAGACGATAATTTACCACAGATTTACCGTCCTTATGTATTTTCCCAATCCTTTTCCTTTCATGCTCTCTATTTCCTGAAATGACACGATTGGTTCTCCAGTTATAATTGTATGTGATAATTAAAGGATCCTGTGGTCGAAGGCAGCTGTTATACTCACATTATTACCCAGCTCTTTATTTGTCCACCTAGTTATTTAAAATAACAAAACAATTATTTTATCCGTGTTGATTAAACTTAATCACATGTTATTTCAACATATTTCCCCTCCTGAGACAATATATATATGATGTCACTGGTAGCAGAGATTAACCCTGCCACCTTTTTTATCTCGTTTGCTTCTTGACTGTTTATGAAAATGTGAAAAGACAACTCTCTTCTCTCTCTAATTTGCAGCGGTTTGCTCAGGAATTAGTTTGATAACTCAAGGAGAAAGAACAACTTCATGCAGATAGGAAAAAAAACGTATTCACATAACTGTTATAATAATTGTGTTGGACAAAGTATTAGTACACATCCCATGCAACTGACTGATTGTATATCATCTCGGAATACCTAATGTCTCAGCTCTTTCATGTATCATTAAACACCATGTATCAAACCAGACCACTGACTCGAGCCTCTCTGGTCCTGTGTGTTCTCCCCCCCCAGTACTCTCCCCTGCTGAAGAAGCTCTACTGTCAGATCGCCAAGACCTGTCCGATTCAAATCAAGCTGTCCTCCTCTCCTCCTCATGGCAGCATCCTCAGAGCCATGCCCGTCTACAAGAAGGCGGAGCATGTCACAGAAGTTGTCAAACGCTGCCCCAACCACGAACTAGGACGAGACTTCAATGATGGTATGACCGACAAATCTGGTCTTTTGATCCTTAACAGACCCCAATAGCATGCCCAATTATTTTGTTGTTGGGTGAAAAATGATGTGTTAGGAAGTAAATAACTGTGAAATCATGCAGTATACATAATTCATCAACCATTGCATGTTGTGCAATCTGTCTTTTATGTGTGATGCTTGGACTAAGATTGACCAACTCCTCACCTCTTATTCCATCCTTGTCTCACCAGGTCAAGCTGCCCCGGCCAGTCACCTTATCCGAGTGGAGGGGAATAACCTCTCTCAGTATGTGGATGATCCTGTCACTGGCAGGCAGAGTGTCTTCTTGCCGTATGAATCTCCACAGGTTGGTGCTCCATCATCTGCTGTGTATCAGAGACCCACAATGGATTGCATTAGGTACATTAGGGACAGAACTGATGGTCTACAGTAAACATCAAACATATGAGAAGGGATTTTGAGATATAGATTCTGCTAAAGTTTACATCTTAATATCTTGAAGATGTCTCTCATAGTTTTTACAATGAGCCGGAATGATGTTATCCAAAAGTCACAATGGATCAGTCGACCTCATATCAAAGATCCCGTCAATTTCTGTGAGGAACTCAATAGGAAACACATCTATAAATAAAGATGCCTGACAAGTCCAAACAAGTGCAAGAGTGAGAATTCATCATATGTGTTGTTGCACCTGAGGAGATTATCGAAAGCATCATTGCCTCCCTCAGATCAAAGCGCTCTACAACATTGCCCTCTGGTGGTGGATGGCCATATTTACTGTAACTAAACCAACACAATGTAGCATTCATTTATTGGTGGGATCCACTGTGTTGTGTTTCAGGTGGGGACTGAGTTCACAACCATCCTCTACAACTTCATGTGCAATAGCAGCTGTGTGGGCGGCATGAACAGGAGACCCATCCTCATCATCATCACTTTGGAGACCAGGGAGTAAGTCCACAAGTCACAATTGCAAACAAGGTTCTTCTTTTTAATCAAACAAAAATGCCCTGCCCTTTGTAAGGTGCTGTATTATGATTCTTTCTGGCACTGGTAGTTTAATTTTAAATGGACATTTTGAATTTGCCATTTTTTCTACAACAGTATACTGGCTACTGATAATGGACAAATCCCAAAGTGCCTGACATACTACAGAAGTAGCAGAAGTGCATACAATCAGATGTGTAATATGTATATAACACATCTGACTGTATGCACTTCTATTATGTAATATTCAGTTCCATTTACCATGATGATGAACATGTTAGCAAATACATACAATTGTGTGAGGCTTTGCAGTGTTTTGATCCACCAAAATAAAACTAAACTGAAAACTAAAGACATGGAGTGTTAAATAACCTACATTTTCTAAGTATATTTTTAACCTCAATTCTCTCTGCAGGGGTCAAGTGTTGGGCAGAAGGTCGTTTGAAGGACGGATATGTGCATGTCCCGGCCGAGACCGCAAAGCAGACGAGGATCACTTCAGGGAACAACAGGCCCTGAATGACAGTGTGGCCAAAGATGGCTGTCCCAACAAGCGCAGTAAGTTGAATTCTGTTTGGCTGTTGCCATACATTTAACAATAAACACTGACCAAAAACATCCAGGATGTATTTATCCTAAAAGAGATTGTGATTTTAAATTTGTATTTGTAACCTGAGCATATTTCTGTTTCTGTCATTTACAGACTTCAAACAGAGTCCACCAAATATTCCCAGTCCAAATATTAACATGAGGAAGAGGCGCCATGGAGAAGAAGAAATTTACTATATTCCTGTAAGAGTCTATCACACTGATGCAACGACTACAAGACAATCAAATGGTATCAAACACTGAGAGCAAATTTAAAAGAATGTGCTCACAAGTCATTATCATTATGTGTTGTGTGTAGGTCCGTGGTCGGGAGAACTTTGAGTTGCTGATGAAGATTAAAGACAGTTTGGAGCTGGTGGAGCTTGTGCCACAACCGCTGGTGGACTCCTACAGACAACAAACACAGCAGCAGCTTCTGCAGAGACCGTGAGTCACTCCAACACTAACGTATGCACAGGCACACAGACAGCAGCTGGAACACAGACTGTATGTTAAAAGTGTGACTGTAAAGATTAGATTTTCCCAAACACACACAAAAAGGTACATAAAGATCACACACAGTTTACTTGATAACCATTGCTTTTGCTGACGTCTATGAGTAGAAAAAGGAAGAGGTAAAAGTTTTAAATACTTTTTGACTTCCTTATTTCTTTACGTTTTTTTGCACTAAGTAACAAACAATATACACATTTCTCTAACCTTAACTCCATTTTCATCCTTTCTCAAGGAGCCATATAGCATCCCCCTCCTCCTACTCTCCAATGTCCAACATGAACAAGCTTCATACCCACGGAGGCCTCAACAAACAGTCCTCAGTTAACCAGCTGGTGGGGCAGCAGCACCAGCAACACCCCTCTGCCCCCATCTCCATAGCTCATATGGGTAGGTATTTACTGCATGTCTGAATCAAATCACATTCACTTAAACTCATTGCATGTTTAAAACCAATTCTGCTGCCTATTATTTCATTGATCACCCCTCTTTTTCACAGGTTCTAACATGCTCAACAGCCACCACATGCAGGGGAATGGTGATATGAATGGTGGCCACAACAGTCAGACTATAGTGTCTGCCTCCCACTGCAGCCCACCCCCTCCATATAACCCTGACCCCAGCCTCGTCAGGTACCTCACCCTCCAATGACACTATTTATTTATCCTCCTGTAAAGGGCCTGCTGACAATTAGATGCACTTGTTGGGTTAAACATTAATGGGTGCCAAGTTGATGCCAAAACAGATAGTTCGTTTGGCATTGTTTACGCACATTTGGTCAAACTGTTTTTTGTAAAAGTTCCCAATGTGTTTAGATGGAACTGTAGTAAACAAGTAACATTTGATTATGGCTGCTTTGTAAAAGCTTGCAAATACATCAGAAATCTCCTCACTAGCATCCATGGCTGGTGCCATAATGAAGGTCCACTTAAGAATTGGCTGCATGGAAATAATGTCTTTACCTACATACAAAATGGAGGACGTTATTTAAATGTTATGGTCGAAGATTCATTCAGTAATGTTTTAAGTAAAAGTGAAGTGTGTAATGGTATGTTTGTTACCAAAGTTTGGCCACTAAACGGTTTTGGGTCTGCAGAAGAACGAAATATGACCAAAAGTATCTTTGTTAGCTGCCGTAAAGTAATTTGCAAAACAGTTGATATTCTTGTCCAAGCTAGTTAGAAATGTGATGAGCTCCTATCCAAAAACAGCACATTATTCATGTCTGTTTATGCTGCTCATACGGCGAATCAGCTCAAGAGTTGTAGACCTTCACTATGGCTGCCAGAGGGTTTGATATGTCACCCAAAAACCCCAAATGGGTATCATACACTTATATAGATGTTATACACAATCTTAAGTTGTTCTCACTGTCATTATGTATAGTCGTCCTTTGCAATGCACTACAGCACATTTTCTTTAAAAGAGATGTTCATTGTTGATGTTCTGTTTGATTGAAAACAGTTTTTTTCCATATATTTCTAAGATAACTTGTCAATGCAGTTGTTTCAATACTTAGACTTTGCTTTTGCAATTTTTACATTTTTTCTTTTTCCAGTTTTTGGGTTTCTAGATTGTTGTGTCTTTTGTACAGTTACATTGTACAGTTAGCTTCTTTTTCAATTACACTGTATGTTGCCAAAACGTTAACATTTCATGTATTTATAATAAAGGTTCTTCATCAAAGCAAGAATGGCCTTATGAATCATTCATATAAATGCATGTGTTTTTGTTTTACTTCCACTGCATCTGTCAAGATGTAAACTTTCTGTACACTTGAGGCTCAATCTATGACCTAGATCTTACACTCAGTTAAAAACTTAATTAGATAATAAAGAAATATAATAAGTTACTTTTCTCTACAATTGTGTCTAAAATAAATACTGACCCTAACATTTTAGTAAGGATATTATTTATTCTTCTCAAGTATAAATACACCTTTCATCAGTGTTAAGCAAGTTGATTTTGATTTTAAAGTCATACTTTTGAAGCTGTGGTCCAATGGCAGTCTAAGCAGCCCTGCTTTTCTCCTCTTACAGTTTTCTAACCAGTCTGGGCTGTCAGAACGTCATTGAGTACTTCACCTCCCAAGGCCTCCAGTCTATCTACCAACTCCAGACTCTCACCATGGAGGTAACCTCTTCGTTCCTGCACACACAATCTCACAGTGAATTATAACAATGACAACTTGCTCTTCAGAATAAGGGTGAAACTAGATACCTGTAGCAATGATAATTGTGGTATTCAAATATTAAATATTGAAATCATGTTTATAATAAACATATGATAGTAAAGTGAATAATCCAGTGCTTCTTAAATAATTTGTTGCGTTTACTGTTGTCTCCCTCCCCCAATTCATTTGCCAGAAAAAGAGTAAAAATGCCAGTTGATTTAGTTACGTTTTTGATTGATAGCATTTCTATTTTTTAAATGTTCAAAATGTTATATATTGTTATATATGTTAAGATATTGCGATCTATCTTTATTGTTAATGATTTGGCCTACAGTATCAACAATCTGATAATGTGACAGCCCTACTTCATAGAAAGAAAAAGAAATAGAAGAAAATAGTTTTGCAGCAAAACACCATTGTATGAAGAGAGCAAACAATTGATCCCATAGAAAGCTTTTGCAAAGCATCGAGGGTGGAAGTATTTTTGCCCAGTCTTACCAAAGGTACCCGGTGGAGTATTTAGGACCCCTAGTGGTGATGTAAAGTATTGTTATAAGCAGCCTCCCATTTTCAAGGAAACAGACGATGCACATGAACTCCTATGTTCCTTCCTTGTTCACAGTTTTCTCCTACATTCTCACACTCCAATGTCTAACTTTTTGCCATCAACAGGATTTAGCTGTACTGAAAATACCGGAGCAATTCCGCCTTGCAATCTGGCGAGGTCTGCAGGACATGAAACAAGTTGCTCCCCTCCAACTGCCTGCCTCCACTCATCACCATGACTATCATGGCCAGCAGCTCCTTCGCTCCAGCAGCAACATGACTGCCTCTGCCATGGCTGCCATTGGGTCTGCCAGTGGGGAACTCCAACGTCAGCGCGTCATGGAGGCTGTGCACTTTCGTGTCCGCCACACCATCACCATCCCCAACCGGCCAGGTGTTGTTGGGTCGTCAGGGATGGCAACGGGTGCTGATGAGTGGGCTGACTTTGGTTTTGATATGCCCGACTGCAAGCTGTCACGTAGCAAGCACTCCATCAAGGAGGAGTTCATGGATAGTGATGTTCATTGAGCCTGAACAACGTCTTTGGACCGTTTCTCCAATACTTTTGTCAGCATCATCCTATTTACAAATTAAACACATGTGGATTGGGTCTCTGAATGTTGTTTTAGGTGTTGATGTCATGTTTCAGTCAGTGATATTGCAGAGAAACAAGTTTGACTTTGATTGTTGGACATTTGAGTGTGCTAATGCACTTGTCTTTTTTTTTTAGTGCTTGAACAATTGTTCAACCCAGAAGAGTGAACACAAAAGGATGTCACAAGTGAGGAATATACTTTTTGGGACTCTTATAAGTGCATGCAGACATGTATTGTATTTTTTTCTGCAAACCAAAATGTGTATTGGCTGAAGTGTGAAATAATACATGACACATTTAGTTATTTTACAGCATCCACTTACATCAACAGCGAACATAAAATGTAACAAAATGACAATCGCACAAATGTCACAATAGACTTATAACCATTTCACAACTTGTGTTTGAATAAGCAACATTTGTTCTAAGCTGACTTATTTATTGCTTTGTCAGTTTCCTCTCATCTGTACAAATGTATATATTGTATCTTGTAAATGTTTGAGTCAGTAGATGTGGTTGAAAAGGGGTATTTTAATTCAGAATGGTGTATTTCTTGTTTGGTAAATCTGGTTTGAAAAAAAATCTCACGGCTATGGGAACACATAGTCATGTATATTTGTAATGGCTATTGAAATGTGATATTCAGCATACCCTTCTCATTTCATTGTTTGAAATTGTTGAATGAGCTTTAGTATTAATAGTGTGTAATCAGTCGACATATACTATGAGAAGTTACACATTTAATCCATTACCTTTTTTATTAAGTCATAGGAAGACTGTAATCCTTGTAAAGAAAGACATTTCAAAACAGTTGAGAAAAAAAACAGTATTATATATGTTATTAACAGGGATTTAATCAGAATTGTGAATAATAAATTGGGAATAGCATCCCTGTTTACCACAACACTAGACAAGACTGTAGCATTTTTGTCTTTCTGTGTATTTTAAAAACCTTGCAGGGCAAGGTCCTCGTATAATGATTATAGCTAGTTGTGTACGTACTTATGTGTATCTTCATGGCACTTGTTTGTGGATATTTAATAGCAACATTCCAGGAGATAGAAATCAATATATGGTTTTATTTTTTAGATTGCTATCAAGCACGATTAGTCATGGTGCAATTATATTTGTGTCAAATGTGTTTGTTTAAATACTTGACATTGTACCATGATAATAATTTCTATCTGATTTGTATGCTTTGTTATACTTTCACCCACTAATTACCAACTGGTCGAAAAGAGCACTTTAATGCTTTAAAAGTAAAACAATTTAGGATTATGTGTGCTTATGATCAGTATTATGAATTACCACATTGTACATAAAAGTAGTGATTGTTTTTATATACCTAGTCGTTTTTCGTTATCAGTTTTGTAACAATTATTGATGTACCTGTATATCTATTGCTGTTCATCAATGCCCATTCGTTTTTGAAGTTGTTCAATGTTTCTTTTTTTTATAATGGATATTAAAATATTTGCCTTCCTTTATAATGTGTCTTTTTCGAAGTCAAAATGTTTTGATCAATTACCCTGAGTTTTATTTGAAAGTACACATACATGTTAAGGGTATTTTCTAAATCTAGGCAGTGTTTTACGCGACATGTATCAAAACAAATGTATTTATATTACAGTATACGCTTTGGCTTCTGTTCGTTTATGGGGCATTCTACCGAATTAGTACAGTAAGTGCTGTCCCACAACAAGAACAACTATTTAACAAAACAATTAAGTATTCAGACATAGATATTTACTAAGAATATGTTATGGTCTATTTAAACATAAGGCATTACATTATATAGTGATAAGCTTAATATATACAAAAACATCATTTATAGGGTACTTTCTATTGGGAAGTAGCTGTCCCCAACCCTGACATCTACATTTCAATTTCTGTAAATAACACTTAAAACATTTTTATTTGATTGTGTTCAATGGTGTATTTAGAAGATCTTTATGATTACATTCAAACAGAAGTTGGAATATTTAGATTTATTGTGGGTTTAATTTTTTAATAAAAAAACTATACTAAAAAATGTCACTATCGAAACACAAGGGGTTTTAGTCCAATGGCTGAGCCTGGTTTTTAGCCACACCCCTGCATTTTTGACAAGGCAGTGACACTGCATCCCTGTCCCTCATGGCTGAATGTTAAGTAGCTCGATCCCATACTTTTGATATAAATCTCAGTGTTTCCCCTACCATTGTCTTGGAGGGGCGCTGCGCCCCGCCAACGGAGCCCCCCCTGAAATTCAAGGTGGTTTCTTTTTATATATATTTTTTTTATATATAGCACCAAATTGCACCAAATCTATATCTACTGTCACTTTTCACATTGAACATGTGCTCATTTATTAAATAAACTAAACGCTTTCATTTTAAGTTGTGAGTTTAGTGTTTTTGACCCTAAGAAACACTGATGCATTAATCAATAACAATAATCCACAGCTCCTCTCTCTGCTCCAGAGGATTTAAAAAATATATATCCCAATGCCCCCCCCACCCCCCCTAGTTATGCTCAATTTTAGCTAGAATCGTCACTACCGAAACAGTCACTACCGAAACATATGGTTACGTTTCGGTAATTGACATGATCGTTTCGGTAGTGACAAAATGGAATGGTAAGCAGGTAAATCCCACCATTTTGAAATAAATGTGTTTTAAAGTCTGAAAATCAGTGTGTTACTTTAAAGGTCTCCTATTATACTATTGTTAGGCATATATTATAGGTCTCAGATATATAAAAAAACATGTCTATGAAGTGTTTTGCTCAAAATACCAAACAGATCGCCCATTCTAGCCTCATTCCCCTCTATTTCAGTGCTGATTCTGGGTCAGTAGCTTCAAACATTCACACTTCAACATAAGGCATGTTATGAGTTAAGATTAAGCAATAAGGTTGAGGGAATATGATACAACCTTGAGAACAAAATACTGTGGTCACTACCGAAACACTGGATGTTTTGTAAAAAATTAAGTATATTGAGTTATCAACTAAAATGATATGATACTGATTGGTTTAATGTATGTTCAATTTCAACAATCATCAACTCTGGAATCAATATGATCAGTATTATGCATTTTACAAAGAAAGTTTGCATTATGATTTTTATGAATTGAATAAATTGAACTTTGAAATTTGATTAAAAATTCAATTGCATTGATTTAATTGTGAAAACCCTCAAGAAATATTTGTTAAAATACTATTTAGAGAAGGGAAGGTAAAACAATCTTAACAGGTTAATATAATACTTTTTTACTACAGTGTATGTACTATGTTTCGGTAGTGACCATTTTTGGTACAGGAAGAACATTCCAATACAGTCTGAAAATACGATATAAAAATGTACTGTTCTTTTACTAGATATGTGTAATTTAGATATGTTACAAAATATATATGGACAAAGTTTTGGGGAAAAAACATACAAAATGTCAAAACTGTTCCAACCTGACTTCGCACCAAGAGTGCCACAGTGACGCGTCCTAAAACCCGGAAGTAAACTCCTTCCGGTTCCTTCGACAAAAACCAATGCAATTTCTCCATAGGATTTTGGAAAATAGCTCGAAATAAGGTCTGTGGTTGACACACATTTAAGAGACGGATCACGTTTTGTTCAGCCGAATAATATCCACATGTCTACCCTACTTTTATAAATTTCGAATCATAAATCTAGTCACCAGAAGTAAAATGCTAACGTTATGCTATCCAGGGGTGCCCACACTTTTTCAGCTTGGGAGCTACTTTTAAAATGACCAAGCCCAAAAGATCTACCTACAGGGCCGCCCCTGCCCAATCTGTGTCGCGAGCGCGCGCGGGGGGGGGGGGGTGCTAGTGGACAAAAACGGCGGATAAACAGTGGCACGCTTACACTAATTGCGCCGCATAATGGTGCGCCGTATTTGCGCTTCAGATGAGGAGGTGAGGCCCCCTCATGACTGCATGAACCCGTATGGCACAATACAACTGGCTTACCTGTACGTCAATCAAGTAGCAAATGCCATAGTAAGGATGGATGATAGGTTAACTTTAAAAATTAATTAATAAAAAAACCTTTTTTTCTTTTTTTTTTTTCAAAAATGCGATCTACCCACACTACCTTTGCGATCGACGTATTGGGCACCCCTAAACGAACTACAAGCGAGTACAGCAGCAGGGTCGCACAACTTCAACGTCACGCCAACTTAAGATCGTTTCAACTGACTTTCGTGCACTTGCATATTTTAACAAAGCTTTTCCTTTTAGCCACACTGAATTTAACTAGAAGTCATGGCTGTGTCAATTACCAGTCTGATATCGTTTTACAAAGATGACAAGAAGAGTGTAGATAAAGGAGAGAACCACTAGTCAGGACACGTACCGCAGTGCAGCCTAGCTGAAGGTGTACTTACCGGTGTTGTCAGGGCTAGCATGAGGGACAAGGTCTATACAGAGTGTCGGTGAGTAGTGATAGCAAGAGTACCGTTAACCTAGAGTTCATTTATTCACATTAGTGACATTAATTCCCATCAACAAATCAATTTTATGTGTCACATGAAATCTTTATTACAAATATTACACACCAGAAAACACGGAAATATCCATGAAATAAACATACAATAGGTTATAAACAATTAAAAGGGATAATTGGGAAGGCATTACAAATGTAAATATATTTTAAATAATAAAACAATCCCACCACCACACAGGTATCTACAGGAGAAGAGGGAATTTAGGGAACAGAACCTAAATAAAATGCACCCAGTTTAAAGACATTGTTTGAGTGTAATGATGAACTCAAAATGTAAAACAGAGTATGAAACATGTTTCTGGACATATGTGTTTACATGTGAAAAGACACTATTTTTCTGCCACCTCTTTTATGAGAGGACGTTGGAAGTTCACATACCTGCACCAGTTTATCTGAGAAGTGCCTCAGGTGAGATGGAATGAACTTTAG